ACTGATCTGAACCAGCACAATGGACCTTGTACTGGAACGACAGCGTCGACACCCTCAACGAGTTCGCCGCCATGGGCTACAACGTGATCCACATCGTGCCCACAGGCAGTCTCGGCGAGATTCCCTTCCCCTGGGACGAATTTGAGCCATACCTCCAGCGCGCCGACGAGCTGGGCCTCTACCTGCGCTACGACGTCCTCTGGACCTGGCCGAACCTCACAAATATGGTCGACCAAGTCACCCGTCTGCGCACCCACCCGTCAATCCTACTGTGGTACCAGAGCGACGAGGCCGACGGTAAAGCGAACCCGGCCAACTCTACCGGCATGGCGTACGAGCAGATCAAGGCGATTGACCCGTACCACCCGGTCTCCCTCGCCCTCAACTGCTGGGACTTCCATTACGCCGAGTACGGTGCTGGCGCGGACATTATAATGAGCGACGTTTATCCCGTTGCCATCAATGCGACATTTTCGACGGTGTATGGCACGGAGTGTAACGCGACGTACGGGTGCTGCGGCTGCGACGACTGCGAGGGCAACTTTGAGGACATTTCTGTGCGGCTGGACGAGTTTTACCGCCGCGACGAGATCTTGGGATGGCAGAAGACGCAGTGGTTTGCGCCGCAGGCCTTTGGCAACGAGACCTTTTGGGCGAGGTACCCGACCGCCGAAGAGGAGGTTGTCATGACGGTGTTGTCGGTCAACCACGGCGCAAAGGGCATCGTGATGTGGAACTACCCCGCCACGCCGGAGCTGGAGGGTCTGACGAGCAAGTTGGCTGGTGTCTTTACGAATGAGGCCGCTGTGGGGTTCTTGCTTGGCACGGAGAGGACGCAGGATCTTGCTATCGAGGGTGCGAAGCGGGTTGATGCGACGGTGTGGGTTGATGAGGCGAAGAAGCAGGTGCTTGTTAGTGTGGTGAATCTGAGTTATGACGAGATTCAAGGCGAGATCAGAGTTGTGTTGCCGGAGGGTGTGGAAGTTGGCGAAGTTGTCGAGATGCTTTGGGGCGATGTTGCTTGGGAGATGGGCGATGGGGGCTTGGTTGCCACGGAAGGGCTGCTTGGCCTGCAGACATCGGTCTTTATTGCTGAATTATCGTGAACCAAGTAATAGAGCATCTCACGTACATATATTATATTACCCTTGAACAAAGTCTTGTGAAAACACATGCTCCTGTTTTCACTCATATTGTGACGATGTTGGTAAAGCGATTGGGCCTTCCATTAGACAAGTTTCTGGGCCAGTCAACCAAAACGTAGGACCACGTATCCCGAACCAGCCGAAGTCTTCCTGTGAACTAACTACCTGTCACACGTTGGCCTCAAAATGAAGTAGCCGCTATGATGGGTTTGGATGGTTCCAATAGGCATGCTATGCTTCGGCGCTACAAGTATTAAGCCATGCCCTGCGGCAAGGAACTGTTATGAATACCATTTGGTGGTAGCGTTGTACTCAGTTGTAGTCGTATTGAACACTTGAGTACGACTTGGCATATTGTTACTCAAAGGTTCCGATCAGTGATCACCAATGTTGGGGCAACCCATCACCACTTACTAACAGACAACGCAGCCGAGAATAGATACGCGTATGGACTCCGTATGTGCCGTATTCAAGACTTTCGTTCCGCGTATACCAAAGACCCGCCCCAAATCGACTTTTCGGAAGCCATACGATTATTCAAGCATTGAGATCGGCGCCAAACATCACGGGAGACGCAGTTTGCCTTGCTATTACGTCCTCATCAACCTTGGGTTCCTGGCCTATGTGCATCTGCGGTCCTGCTAGGCGAGATCTTCCCGTGGTTCCCGCGGGATTGATCTTTTCGCCGGGACATTAGAAGGCATCAGGTTACAGGATGATCTCTCGGCAAGATGAGAAATCCGGGGTTTGTAGATGCTTATAAAAGACCGGTTTCGTCTTACATTCCTCGGCTAGATCAGCTCTTGGTGCCAGCCATCTCTCACAGGTAGCGGCAAGTAGTAACCCAACATGCGCCTCACGTCTACTTCTACCAGCATTCTTTACGCCGCGTGCATTGCGCATGCTGCGCCAGCAGACGAACGCGAAGACCAGGCCCGTTTCGGCAGATATACCCACGGCAACGCCTTCGATCCCGAAAACTCCAAGATCGTAGACCGGCAAGTTAACGTCCCGCCTCCCCCCGCGCCGGAACCAATCACCATCACCGAGCTCCCGCTTCCCCCTGTCACCACGGACGAGGGTGTCGGAGGATGTACTCTGGAGATCAACCCCCACGGCACCGGGTGTATCGGGACATCTCCCGCTCTCCAGAACGGGGATTTCCTGCCGGACGATCTCCACGTTGTCGCGACGGTGAACTTCACCGGCGCCCCTGCGTCACCGAACCTGGCGAGCATATACAGTGGGCAGCAGCTGATCGTTGTCAAGATCGACAATAGCACGTTCCCGAATGGGGATGCGTGGAAGTGTATCACTTGCGGCGTGCCTGCGGAGAATCAGGCTGGACGTGTCGCGAACCACGACTATCCTCAAATCTTCAACGACGGCAAACGCTTGCTTGCTGGGCCGCAAATCATCGAGTGCTCAGCAGAACTTGTCAGCGAAGCTTGCACCCCTGACCAAGTCCACATCTACCCAATCCGATGGAACACAGCCGTGAACGGGTCAGGCATCGGGGGTACCATTCGCGAATTACGTATCCATCCCGACAATGAGCACCTGGGCTACAACTCCTTCACCGTTACGTCCGGCAAAGTCAGCCAATTCGCGTATACCGGAAAGCTAGTCCTCAACAAAGCACCGACGACTGGCGAGCCACTTGTTCCTCGTTATGACTTGGCCAATGTCAACCTGTTGTTCTGTCTGAACGATACGCAGCCTATTGAGGTTGACTCGGCGGACAGCACTCTGCTCCGCATCAACTATGATGCCATCACTGTTGGGGAGCTTCGCGGGTTCAGCGGGACCGGTAAAGAAGTCACCTACATTGGCTACCCGGCCGAGTCGTCCAACATTGACGTCTTTGCTGCGGATCTCGCCACTGGAAAGGTCCGGCGCTTGACCGCCCACCCGGAGTATACTGATCCGGTGGATATATCCCCAGATGACCAATGGACTGTAGCCATGGACACCCGTGGCAGCGGACGCCAAATGTTCATGGCAGGGCTGCGCGGTATCCCTCCACTGACGGACTTGGTCGCCACGAGCGCTGCTTCATCGACGAGGAACAACCAGGGCCGTCGTTTCTTCCAGCCATGGCTCATTGATGATCATGGTGACCGAGGATCGTACTTTGGACAGCAACTCAATGCTGAGGGAAGCGGTGTCCCCGGGAGCGGCGCCATCAATGATCCCGAGTGGAACGGCCGCGCCGACCCGAAGTGGTCCAACGATGGTACCCATATTGTGTACTATCAAGCGCTCACTGTGTCCCCGGAATGTGGAGAGGAGAATCCTTTGCCTTGCTATCCGTCTACGGCACCCGGAGGTCGCACCGAGCGCATGATGCTGGCACATCTGACGAGCCGGCAGCCTCTCGCACCGCCGCCTGTCGAGCCTCTGAGTGATACCATTCCCTGGGCGACGCCATACGTGCCTGGGTCTCACGTCCCGGAGAGACCATTCCCGACGAACGGAAACTTCACCCTCAAGGGCAAGGTCAGTGGCTGGGCAAGTGTAATCATCACTCCGAACAGTGGAGGTGGCCTGCCGGGAAAAGTGGCCGTCGAGTACCACAATTTCTCTGATGACGGCGTGAACGTGCTGGTAGGATCCGAGAAGGTCACTTCAGTTAATCCGAGTCCGACATTAGAGGAGATTGACTGGTACTCGGACCTTGTTCAGACGGGGCCGAACAATGGTACCAAGAAGAGCAGCCCTGATGGCTTCCGGTTGAGCATTGATATCCTGACAAACATATTCCAAGCCAACGGTACCTTGACGACCACGATCGACGGCAAGGAGTGGCTCCAGCCTGCGAATGGGACTTAGACCAGCAGCTGGGTCTGAGGATCCGAGGATTTTAGGTGGCTTAATGCACTAGGCGATAGCAAAAGTTCCTCATTAGTTTCATAGTTCAATAAGAAACAACTTACCCCATCTGCAAGTGTGACAGTGACAGCAAGATCCTCCAAACTTTGGCAACGCAGATGCGAGGCGTATGTGTGGTGAGCCCGTTCCCCCAAGCACGGCCAACGCATTCGGTCTCCTGCGTCTGGCGGACAGTACAGTGCAGCTGAATTTCATTGTAAATATGTCATCGGAGCTCGGGTGGGCTTTGAGTCCGAACACCAAAGCTTTGCCCCTCATCAGCTTCGACAGCTGCCATGCCAGAATCCTGCATTGAGATGAAACACCTTCAGACTGAAGATGCCTTGAGCTGGATGGGTGCATGCTACGGGTAGCGTTTGGAGATAAGGAGGCAGCCGGGGCAATTCGAGTTTACTAGCTCATATGTTGATATGGATGTCTGAGAAACGCTGCAGGTTTTCTCTGTAACATTGAAGCGCTCGCCGTGAAGTTTCTGGTGTGTTAATATGCGCGCAAGTTGAGGTGGTGATGGGCGAGAAGAACGTACCTAGCTTATCGAGACAGGGTTTATCTTATCTTATCTACGATACAGTCACATGACTCATCACGTGAGTCGAGCTCTCCCCGGGTGCCCCTCGATGTGTCAAGGGAAGGAAGCAACGAACTTGTTCAGGGACAAATGATGGATGGAAAGCGGCGGCCGAGCAGTCGCGCACCTCGCGCAGGAACGGTAGCCATACAAACTTTGTCGACGACAACACCACACGCGACACACGAGAATACCTGCATCGAAATAAACAAATTTGCTACCATGAGCTCAATATCAATTGGGCGATAATTCCACACCTTCATCATCGCTCGAGTCCAGTCTACCTTGTGACCCAAGGGAAACTGGTCGACCATTCTTTGTGCTTTGCGACTTGACAGCGTCGCAAAAGTTCTTTCTCTTTCGCAGCAAGGGGGTTTTGTTGTGCGCGGGCGACAATGGCAAAGAAGAAGAGCAAACAAACTACGGTTGAAGATGTCGGCGACGGCGTGTCTAGTGAGAGCGCATCGCAGTCCTCTTCCAATGGCTCATCCAAGAACTCAGTCTCCAGGCGATCGGCGAACGCAGCGGCTGATACTGCTCCTGCGCTCATAATATGTCGCAACAAGTCCGTCTTCCCTATCGCGATACTCCTTGGTCTCCCTTTGCTGCAGAGAACATGGGTGGCCAGCGAATAATGCGCAACTATGAATAGCGATACTCTACCCCCGAGTACAGCTCGCTGACACACTGCGCAACAGGCATTGGCGCTTCATCTCTTCGTTCCACGGCCCGTGGCTCCAGATGCCCATTGAGATCCTCGAAACCATTGCGAACATCAACTACAACACCCCGGCACCCCGTCCGATCGACCCCGCCGTCTTCTTCGACCTCCTCAAGATTCGCCGATTAGTAGACGAGGCGACTAACCTGGCTGTCCGCGCTGCTAGCGACATCGCGACACCAACATTGACGAACGTACATGGCGGGCTTAATGGACACATGTCGTCGTTAGGCTTTGGCGTCGGGAATGGTCACGGGACAAAACTGAGCAAAGAGCGGAAATTTCGGATGAGAGAGCAGGCGAGCCAGAAGCTAGCCCGCGCATATCGTTTGGATGAAATTGCTTGCAGTGTCGCTACTATGCAAGGTGCTTCAACTCTTGAGGAGATTGGTTCCCTGGTGTTACAGCGCAGCAGAGACGATCCCGATGCGAGATACGTTCACTTCTTCCACGAGAAGATACCCTCGCGACAGCTGGCCGAGTGTACCAGCCTAGCGCCCTTGGATAACATCATATCGGTGCACCCGACCGAAGCTGAGGTGCTGCGGACCAGAGCGACTGTCAGGATATTTAAGGACGACTACCTAGGGGCCGCTTCGGACTTGAGTCTCGCGCTGCAAGTGCACCGCTATCATCAGCCATCACATGCGGCACCAGCTTCCCAGGAAGTTGAGTTAACAACGGCGTCCAGAAGAATCCCAGACGTCATCCTTACCGAGGAACAGCAGCCTAGCAGCTTGGAAACACAGTTGTTATTTCAAAGAGCAGGAGCGTACTTGACTATTGCTTGCCAACACGTAGCCGCTGGTCTTCCGGATACTCCTGCGAACGGAGACACTGGTCGGGCTAATGGCGCGAACGGAGCTACCGCCTCAGACAAGGTTGATGGGCAGAGCCCGGAATTCATGACGGCGGACAAGGAGGCAGCGCACATACGGCTGGAGAAACGGAAAGTCGTGAAGACGTACGCCAAAAAGGCCCTCCGAGACTACATGGCCTATCTGTCAAACTTCCACTACACGCCGCACCAACCGCTCAAAATCGCCCGAGACTTTACTGAAAAAGTGAATCTTGCGGCGCAAGGCTATCGTAATCCTCGTGTTCCGGACTCGGGAAGCATACCTCCCTATAAGGCGTTCGCCTTGTCTGAACTCTTTGCCGCTGTTCCACCTGCAGACATTCCACCATACCCTTCCCAGGACTTGGTCCGCTCGTCAGGACCTGTACAGCCGAACAACTACGAGACTATCACCTACCATCCCCTACTCACGGAGGCCCTTCATTCTTTACTACTCTGCCACTGCTTGGTACAGACTTCTACAAAAGAGCTTCTACGCCACGCACACATGGTTGCCCGTCTCGCTCGGCTCGCGGACGGTTACCCGCTGTTCCAAGCGAGTAGGTCTCCAGCGAGGGCAGACTGGATCGAGGTGCTGCGCCGGGCGGAAAACTGGATCCAAATGAGTGCTTCCTGGGAACATTTGTGTGCCCCAGCACCGCTCCCGATTCTTGATGGATCGCTTGGCGCGCAGCAGGACACATCCCATTCGTCTCATAACGCCGCCGCCCTTGCAGCCGCTGCCATTACAAGGGATGCCAGCACGTTGCCGGACATTGGCGAGACGGAGGAACAGCGAAAGGAGAGAGTTCGGCAGCAGGCTATCATGGACGCGCTCGATGATGATAGAGTTGTCGACGAGGTTACACTTCGTGCGGCCATCACTGCTCGTCAGAAACGCTCTGAGGAGGATCACGAGTACTTTATGAGTTTGAAGAATAGCTCGAACTGGAAGTCTGAGACTGCGGAAACTTCCCCTGCGCTGCGCCGATGGAGCGTTGACGATGGAAGGGAGTACCCTATACTCACTGAGCGCGCAGCCGCCATCGCCAAGTGGATTCTCGAGGCGCCGCCCGTAAGCCTCGGGACTGCGAAGCGCAAGAAGAAGACCACCTCAAAGAAGGGCAAGGAGGTTGCCAACGAAGAAGCTGGTGTCAATGGCTTGGCCAACCTAGCGATCAACGAGTCCAGTCGGACGGTTGATACTGCCGCTTGAGATCCCGATTTCTTGCATGAATGATAACTTGGATCGTATTGGTAAAAACGAACTAGTATAGATTCAGCGTATCCAATACACACAGCGAGTTGTTCACAGCGACAATTAGTATCAATTTTCCATCAGCTACCATGGCTCCTTTATGTCAAATGACCAATCGTGTTCGTTTATGGCTCTCCGTATCCTATTCTGCTTCATTTTCACACAATTCTCCTAGGCTGTCCATCTATCCATTCGAAGTAGGGAGAACCAAGACTACGAGCAATGCCCACCATGACTTGGAAAGGCAATCTCTGGCAAGTACAGTCGTCAGAGGTTCTGTGGTAGACGAGGATACCATCTTCTCGTCCTCGCACTAATGTCGTCACTATCGTTACTTGTACCTTGACTTCTTTCTTCATGGCAAGTTTCTGGGCCGATACCATCGGTCCTGCTTGTGGATACGAAAGTCTCGGGGATCGAGGGGGTAAACATGGAGGTTAAAATTCTCGGGAGGACACGGTGATAGGGTGGCACCAGCTCTAGGCATCTACGCGAATGTCGACTCGTGGATACGATTCAAAAACCAAGACATGTCTGAAGAAAGCCCTTCGGTGAATGGAGAAGACGCTGAGCTTCGAGCGCGGCTATCGAGACGACAGTTCGCTATGTAGACTTCTTTAGCTTAGGTACGTGTTTCGCCTAGAAGCTCCTCGGCCACAAACTATGGCTTGTTGCGAGCATGAGATAACGACGGGATCCAGTATGCCATTGGATCTAGGTATCTCGAAAGCGGTATCAATGGTATCCATTATGCTTCGCTCAGGGTCCATGTATGGGCAGGCTTTTGGGCTTGGCCGCGTTGTGTACACTGTCTTGCAGGTTCTTGGGTCCGTCGTGAGTCGTCAAATCGTGTTGCTTTTGAAGGAGGAATATCGTTGGAGTGTGAACTTTCCTGTGATCACGTTGGAATAAAGGGGGTCTGTTCATCGTCGGGCTTGCTTCGAGGGGGCTTTTCGTAGAGTCCTAGTAACGCCGAGCTGGTCAAGATTAGTCTGACTTTTCGAAAAAGGGTAGATCGAGCGCTCCAAGTAAGCCAGTACCAGCCGCGGCCTAGAAGTAACTCTAGCCACGTGAAGAAGCGCGACGCGAGTCCAGCTCTCGAAAGGTTGGTCACGCGAACATCTGCAGGCCATAGCAGACCAGAGGCTGCTCAGCTTCTTCCCAAATGATCAAATGAAAGGAGAAGAAGCCCAGGCCAAACCAACCACACCCTCTCTCCCGTCATGCGACCAAGTTGGTGTGCAACCGGTGCCGAAGTCCGAGAACGATGCTGGGGTCCGGCCTACGAGGTAGGTTTCCGGGAGGCACGTAGGGTAGCCTTGAGTTTAGACCGCCGTCCCGTCCTCTCGGTAAGCTAATGGAATCACATAACACGACGATCGAGAGTCATTTCAGCTACTCCTCGACAGCACTTCCCGTCTCAGCATCCTATCAAATTCTCCATATCCGCATCCGTATGGTACGAACGGCACCATGCCACAGACGCGCAGCATGCGTCAGCTCACTAGTATAGTTATGAGCATGTGTAAGAATACAGATAAGACTCGGACTCGTCGACGAAAGGAGCTTCACTTCAGCATCCTTCTCGACAATATTTGCACATCTCCCAGTCCAGTCCAGTCCAGCCTAGACAACCCCCCAGCAGTCCTTCAGGTGGTACCCGCAGAGCCCTGGCGAGAACGGCCGCCCGCGGCAACGCCTTCGGTGTTTAGCGTGGGCGTGCGCACATCCAAGGATCCTTTCAAGGGCAGTCGTGGATTTCGGAATCCTTGTGGAGGAAGAGGCGGCGCGACGGCGGCGGCGTTGTCGCCCCCCCCACCCCTTCCCCTTCCCATCCTATCTGGGGCCGTCTGGGGAATGTTTATTTCTTCCATCAATCATGTTCGCGGGGAGAGCGGGCCCCCCGTCCTTAGGCCTCGTTTGACGGGTTGGATAGATCATGGCTTACTTCTTAGCTGAATATTCCATGGTGTGGTTTGGGGACTCCGGATTTTCCAGTGGTTCGACTTTTTTTCCTCCTGTTTGTCCATTTGACTCCGGATTGCGGCACGGCGTTTTCTGGGGTCCGGGGGAGATGAAGCGGAGAGGACCTGGAGTCACGATGGCAGTTGGTGCTAGTGCCAAGATGGGGATGGGTTGATTTTCTTCAGAGGGTCGAATCTGTGCCGATGGGATAGAGGTTTTCCCAACGATCGAGAGAGGCAGAGGTCATGGGTGCTCACTGCTCGCAGGCGATCTTGGCCTTGCATTACTCGCCATGTTTCTTGGGTCCCAGGCCCTTGGGATTCAGCTAGCGGCAGCTTGCCGTTGGCATATGTAAAACATAAAGCCCGTATTAATGGGAGGCAGTCATCAACAGGCAGATGGCCGAGGGAGAAAGTCGAGATATTCGGCACAACTTGGTGTTCTTGGCGGCGCCGGGTGGCTTGCAGTGCCAACGCGTGAATCGCGGAACGGCCAGGCTTGGCTCTCTGATGGTCTCTTGGTTAATCGCCGAAGTAGGGCAGTATTTTGTGCGAGTGTGTGCCTCTATTCTTCTTGGCTCGCGCTGGCTGAAGCTTGTGTTGTCTCCTTCTGAGCCTCTACTTTGCCTGTCGTCAAGGCAAGTATTGCGATGCCTATCCGTGGAATTACACTGACTAATCGCAAGGATAGAGTTCTGGTCACTCACAATGCGAGTCAAGAAGACAGTGAAACGGCGCGGGAGCAGCCCTCATGTCATTTACTCTGGAGATTAGCGGAACGAATCCGGCGTCTCATGCCGGAAAGCTGCAAGCCTGGACCTATTTTCTTTTTGCCTCCTGCGCATGAAGGGAACGCTGCAGAAAGAATGGGTCCCTCTCTCTCTCTCTCTCTCAAGATAAACTCGACCCAGGGCCGCGATGCGGTGACAACAGACTTTAGCGTAACAGAACACATTGCCCTTCACATGCGAACCTCTCATAGGCAGAATCTCACAAGGAAGCTCGAATGTACTTGACATGGGGGCGATAATTTGCGGCGCGGTCGTCCGCGCGCCAGACTCAAGAGCCGACCGGATTCAGTTCAGCTTTGCATGCGCCGGCTGAGGTATCCCATCGGTGATATCTCGTTAAGGACGGCATTTTTCAATTTGAGAATTTGAGATAGTTACACAACTTTGAGAACAACTATTGAAAACGACCGAGACACTGTTGTAAAGAGAGACATAAGCCGGCCCCACGGATAGGCGTGTCCAGATACGGGACTCGGCATCCCGACGACGGAGGTGGACGACCATGTGCAGCGCCAAGGGCCATCATCGACAACGAAGCACACTATCCAGACACTGAAGCGAGAAGCGCACGCGTCACGGACGTGCGATAAGACGGCCTTGGCTGTCAGTCAGTCGCATAAGTCACTGTCCTCCTTCTCGAACTCGAAGGTAGCTCCGCTCTGTCACCCTGCAAACTGCACAAACAAGCCCCACGGCCCACGGGGGAAACGGGGACGTGTGGACATGGTGGACCCGTTCGAGTCGAGGAGAAGGGAAAATAAGCGTTTGCCCAGACCAGCCACCACGCGGTGGTTGAAATTGTGTCTGGTTCGTTTTATTGGCAGACTGAGGGAGGGCGTATCCGTACGTGAAGCCGATTCCCCCAGGCGAAACTACCATTGGTGGAATTTTGAAAGTTGGAGATTTCTCCGCCGGTTCAGACGCCCCCCTTCTCCATCTCAAGCTAGCCGGCTAGCTTTGTCTCTCCCCCTTCGCCCTTTCGCGGAGACAAGACTCGAAGCAAGGATTGTCAAAAAGGTTGAGGGTCTCTGGGGAAGAAAGGCGGACACGGCGGGCTACACGCGGCGCGGCGCCAAGAGATTTGTTCTGTCGCCGCATTCCTTGGGTTGTCTTGTCTTTGGACGACATAGCTGATGAGAGGGAATGAAGAGTGAGAGGTTTAGGATATCATCTGAAGAGAGTGTATGAAGATATCACATTTGACAATGTCTGTTGCCCTCCACCCCGGCGGTTATGAGAGCCTCAAGCAAGGGAACCCAAACCTACATGTACGTACGGATAGTCGTATGCAACAAGACAGAAACCCGGCTCTAAACCAGGTATCTCTCAACATTCGGTGTGCAGGAAACCAACCCGTCCAACCATGCCATCCAAACTCCCCCCATCTCATTCTCCACTCCCCCGGAACCAGCGCTACTAGCTAGGCCTGGGGCCTCGACAATTATGGGGAAAGATGCCGGTGCCAGCCCCAATCCCTCCTCTCTCTCGGTTGGTTGCTCCTCTTTTTCGCCGTCTAATTCTAGCGGCAGCCAGCCGCCTTCGTTCGAGCCAGCATCTTTTTGCGGATAGTCAGACTGGGGAATGAGGGGGACCGGGAGTGTGAGAGGAGGGGATTTGGGGGAAAGGATTGGGGGAAATCTAAACTCTTGCGGGGATCCCTATCTGAACCTGAACGGCTTGGGCTACTTTTGAAAAGAGACCGGGTATAGTGTGGCATGGTGTGCCTTTGATATAAAGGCTTTAAAGACAACCTCCCATCTCCTCTTCTTCCTGAACCGAACGACTCTCTCTATCTTTCTCTTCCCTCCTTGGCTCTTTACCTCTCTGCCGGAGTTGCTTCAATCCAATCTCACTTCTCCAGGACGATAACTCCTCCTCTTACCATATAGGTGTCGTTATCTTTCTCTAGCAAGTCAACCAACAAAGAGTTCCGCCAAGATGGGTCTTCCCACCGGCAAAAGAGTGTACAACTGGTACATCTCCCTGATGGCGGCCATGTGCATGGTCCTCTACGGGTACGATGCCTCCGTTTTCAACTCCCTCCAGGGCTCAACGAACTGGCTCGAATGGGTCGACGTCGACCTCAAGAAGGACACCCAGCTCATCGGCCTCGTCAACACCGCCTACACCATCGGCGCCATCGTCGCCGGTTTCTTCCTCGGTGGTCCCATTGTAAGCAACATCCATCTCCTGAACCAATACTATAAACAAGATATCACCAGTTTGGGCTAACACAAACCCCTCTACACAGGCTGATTACCTTGGACGTCGCTGGGGCATGGCCATCGGCTGCTTCGTCACCATCATCGCGACTCTCATGCAGACCTTCACCCCCCACCACAAGCTCGGCGTCTTCATCGCCGGCCGTGTCGTGATCGGTCTCGGCCAGGGCATGGCTCTCACCGCCGGTCCCGTCTACATCGGCGAGGTCGCCCCCTCTGAGATTCGTGGCCACATCATGGCCTGCTGGCAAATGTTTTACTCTGTCGGCTCCTTCATCGCCTACTGGATCAACGTACGTTCCTATAACCCGTCTCCTATCACCAACATCATAGCCTAACAACTCTCTCACAGTACGCCTGCTCCAAGCGCCGCGCACAGCTCGGCCAGTGGGACTGGAAGATGGTCGTCATCTTCCAGATGCTCGTCCCCATCATCATCATCATCGCCCTCCCCTTCCAACCCGAGTCCCCGCGCTGGCACATCAAGAAGAACGGCAACGTCGAGGCCGCCCGCGCCGCCCTCATGCGCATCCGCGACACCGAGGAAGAAGTCGAGCAGGAGCTCCTCCAGATCCGCGAGGCCATCGAGTACGAAAAGGAGGCCATCAGCAGCTCCTACACCGCCCTCTTCAAGGACCCCTCCATCCGCAAGCGTCTTTACCTCGCCTTTGCTCTCAACGTCGGCCAGCAGCTTACCGGCCAGGGAACCCTCAACTCCTACTCGACGTCCATCTACAAAAAGGTTTGGCCGTCTACCGATACGATTAATCTCATCAACGCGCTCAACGCCACCATGGGTATCTTCTTCACGCTCAACGCCATGTGGACGGCTGATCGCTTCGGTCGTCGGTGGTTGTTCCTCGTTGGTGCGGCTGGTATGGCCGTGTGCATGCTCATCGTCCCCATCGTCGGCATGAAGACCCCCACAGCAGCAGACGGAACAAAGAGCGAACCCGTCGGTATCTCCATTGTGTTTTTGCTATTCCTATGTAAGTTCTCCTCCCAACCACCACCGTTTCATGTCCTCTCAACTAACATCCCCCAAAGTCATCTTCTTCTACAAGCCAACATGGGGCGCAACAACCTGGATGTGGACCGCCGAAATCTTCTCCGTCAACGTCCGCGCCCAGGCCGTCGGCATGTGCTCCCAGATGCAAAACGTCGCAAACACAATCTTCCAGCAATTCTTCCCCACCTTCCTCGCCAACGAGGGGCTCAACTGCCTCTTCTTCTTCATGGCCACCAACATCGTCCTCGGCATCTTTGTCTACTTCCTCATCCCCGAGACCAAGCAGATCCCGCTCGAGGAGATGGACCAGCTGTTCGGCGGCGCCAACCACACCGAGAAGGGCGCGCAGATGTTGGGTGTCGGCCCCGAGGACGGACACGCGCACCACGGCCACTCTGCGCTGGATAACAAGGAGGGTGCTGAGATTCAGCAGGCTGAGAGGAAGGAGGCTGTTTAGAGATGAAACCTTGCGGTAATCGAGTTGGATAGAGGAGTAATGAGTAATGCGGATTGATGTATTATTATCAGAGAACTGCGGATCGGCCGTAGAGAGGCACAGATCTCGTCGCATTATACCCCAGATTGCGGAATTGAAGTTGTCATGATGAAATACTTTGTGGCTTGTTATCGCGTGAATTGTCAGAAAGACTGGGGATGAGTATCATGGCCTTGGTAGATGACTTGAAAAACCACGTTCGTCTTGTACTCAAAAGATGCAAAAGATGAAGATGTAAAAGATAGGAAAGGAAGTCATAGGAAAGAGTTCAAAGACACGGCAATGATCCGCACTCTTCCTGGACTGTAAGCTCAATAGATATGTTGCTGCCTTTGAAAACGTCAAGTAGGAGAAAGTCAAACAATGGCAAAGCATCGATTGTGAATTACTCACGGTAGCCTTTCGTGCATGAAATATAACCCCCTTCTTTGCATTTGTTGTCTTCGTGTTCTGCCCCTGGGAATGCACAAACACACAGCTTCGACAAGCAGTCCGCTATATATAAATAATTCAATTACTTTAAATAATAGCGAGGAACGGTCGTGATCTCCTTTATATACTTTGGTCGCGCAGATGAAGTCATAGCCCTTCTTTGTGTGTACTATGCTCAGCGCAGCATCCCATCCAAGCCGAATCAATCAATCAATCAATCAATCAACCAATCAATCCAAGGCCATTTCCCCATTCAATCAGACAAGCCTACAGCGCCGAAAGCTTGGCTGACTTGATCAAGCTAACGTTGCCCGGAAAAAGGAAAATCCGGGCCCCTAGACTAATCATAGTTTTTGAAATAACTTTCAAAAAATAAAAAAAAGTCCATCCGCGTATGTTACGGACGTCGAGTTGGTGATGCCCTCACGTTAACAGGTGGCCAAGTGGGGCCGGTACTTCCTGGCAGTACTAACCTGACTGCTAGGTCCTGCCAGGAAGTGCCAGTAAAACGCGTCGACAGCCGACCTAGCCACGCGCAATACTCTCGACGCCTTACCTTACGCCATATGGAAGGGCCGGCGGTTCGTCAACGTTGACGCCATCTCGAGGAAGGGTAACCGAGGCCGTACCTCTTGGATCACAAACGAGGGCATCTTCGTCTACGAGATCCTTGCCAACGGCGTGAGGGGTAATGCCTACTGGGTTTGCCGACGCTGCGACGAGGCAGGGTTTCTAGACCAGCCCTTCAACGCTAACGCCACATCTGCTGCTGCCAGGCATCTCGAGAACGAGCACTCCATCTTCCGAGGTGGCAAGAAGGCTGGCTATACGTCTTCTGATGAGGCTGACGACCCTGGGCCTCCATCCAAGCGCCACCAATCTCTTCCTATCGCCATACCTAAGCGGACAACTACCCAGATCGAAGAGCTAGCTGTGGGATTCCTCGTTGATACCAGCAACCCTCTCACAACGTTCAGCAACCAGTACTTGCAGCACATGCTCAGCCTATTTAATCACGACGTCAACGCCCAGATCCGGTGGTCGAGATCTAGCCAGAGGGAACAACTTCGACGACTCTACATATCCAAGAAGGAACAGATCGAGACCGAGATACAGAGGGCA